AGGCCTTTATGGCCCAAAGCTATGGGTGGGGGTCCCATAAGTCAACCCTCATCCTAGGCCTGGGCAACCTGGGAGTTCAATGCACACGCAAGACATGAACAAAGGAACCTACGAAATCCTCTACTTCTTTTGGTCGTACTGACGGGCAGCTCCACAAAGCCACCGCACCACTTACTACATGCTTTGCCCCGTGCTCACTGCATCATCCGTAATCCTTCTCTAGTTCTGAATCCCAACAAAGCACCACGTTAAGTGACAGTTCCAACTGTCAGTGAGCAGTACAAGACCGATCGCGTGCCCCACTAACCGTGCTGGTAGGACCTTTCAAACGCTCGGTTCGCTAATCAAGTAAACCACAATTGTTTGAGCGCTCATGCAGAATAGGATTGCGGGCAGCTGTTGATCCCACTTTGGAAACCCTCGCCATCGATATATGTTGCCTGGCTGAAACCCAGTTACAGAACTACAGCACGACCCTACGATTGACACCACCTATTGCGTGATCCCACGACACATGCACAGTAAGCTTATCCGGTAACGCAACTACTAAAGTAGCCGATCAGACCAATGCGGGAAACGCGTTAAGTGCGCGCCTAGAAGCAGCGCAACGCGACTGGATCCCAGTCAACAAGCGGCTCTGTGCAATAAGGCTAGAAATCGTACGATCGTCCAACCAGGAGGCTAGTAAACAGTGTTCGTTTGTCGTAGCGACGAATGACCCCACGGACTACAACCCGGACTCAACTAAGGAACAGTTCTACCGTCAACTCTCCAAGCTTCCTTGTAAAAAGCGCCACAGAGAAAGCGTGGCGCTGGCCGTGGACAAACGCGCAGGTCAGTAGGCTCGAAGCTGATGAACAAGACCTCGTTGGTCTGCATGGCTATGGCACTTGCATAACGAATAGCGGTCACCTTGTATAGAGCTGTGCTGGTCATGGGTTATTCCCTTGGGACACAAACTCGGTGCTCCTAGCGCCAGTGCGTCACCTAGCCGCCCCTACCACTTGGACAGTCATGGGCGCAGATTGATCAGATCGCCGTCAGTTGCTATCGGCGAAGTACTTATCTTCCTTCTGAGCACGCTCTTGTGTGTGCTAGAGTTGCCCTTCACTCTGGTGGAATCCAACAGCGTTGTCGGAAATAGCTTGATGTAGCCAAACTTGTCGCTCACAACCTTCTCAGTGACCTTCAGGCCGCAGTAGTGTATAATCTGAAGAGCCATCAACTCCAAAACGGCGAGGTACATTGGGCACACATCTGGAGTGACATGAAGAAGCCTGCCACCGGCATATGCGGTTTCACTAGGCCCATTATCAATACAAATTCAAGAATACAAGTCTGAGCCAACACCGGTCACCCGTGGTGTGATATAAGGAAGTGTCCTTGGGCCGCTACTGTTTTTAATATATGTTAACATCTTCGACGTGGTAAAATTCGGTACACCATATCTTTTTGCCGATGATATTAAAATCGTATACACTTCCCGTCCGGAAGCCTCTAATAACGCTGTCAACATTGTTCAACGCGACCTCCATGCGCTTGAAACCTGGTGCTCAAGGTGGAAAAGGTCTTTCTTTACTGACAAGTGTACAATGCCCCGTAAGTGCGATTTGACTCACAGCGGGATGACACTTGTTGGCAAACCACTTAATCCCTGCTCTACGACTAGAGACCTTGGATTGCGATATTGATGCTCACTTGACTTCTGTGAACAAGTAGGTTATGCCCCCGCGAGGGCAAGACAGAAAATTGGATTTATAGTTGGACCTTTTATTTACAAGTCAATATTTCAGACGTATATATCAGTTGTTCAAGCCACGTTGGAATATTGGTCAATGGTGTACAGCAGCTCAAAAAGGCGTGACAGCATTACACTGGAACAAATACAGAGAGCAACCACAAAGCACCTAAAAGGTGATCTTTCAAAACTGAAATATTCCGAACGATGTGGTAAGCTCAAGTTTGATCAACTCTGGCTACGGCGCATGAAGCAAAACAGTTATATCCTTCCATATCTGGCACAGAAACATACATGCTTCAAACCTCAATGACAGAGTAAGGCAATCAGCAATCTACAACACATGAAACAAACAGGACTCAGCGGCGGAATGCTAATGCAAGACCAGTAAGTTTGCCGACTTTTTCCTTAACAAGTACGCCAGAGTCTAGAACAAGCTACCACCTAGAATATCTGGCTGCAATCTTGAACACGAACAAGTTCTTGTCTGTACATAATGTGATTAAACTGTTTGATTGTTCTATAACAACAAGTCAAGCGTACGAGCAAGGTTCAGGTTTCATATGACCCAGCATATGTTCCACCACCATACTTTCTCCCGTAGGTTAGCTGTTTTATATGTGAGAGAACGGTTATAGACGAGTCAACATTATTTCAATTCAGTCAATCATTTGTTGTGTTGTAGCTGTCCTTCCAAACATCATTATCTGACCTGATATTCAATTTTCCCAACCCACCTGTGATCAATGTTACCCGATCAGGCCGATCAAGGCGTGTCTCATATCGTCGAGAATAAAAATTTATTTATTTATTTTTCCAACTGGATTTCCGAAAACTGCGTTCAACTTATGGGAGACCACTGACCCATTCATGAAGGAGTTAGATACAATTCCCTGTGCTAAGATACGAAAAACGAGCTCAGATAGCTCCTCAAGGAGGACTGCATACTCTGGTAGACATAGCGTGTCATCGAGATGGAGCAAGCTGCATTTTTCAGGAATGTTCCGTAAACTTTTTCCTTCATCCGATCCGCTAGTGACAAGAGGCCAACTATAAGCGAAGTGCCACAAGGAAACAGCAGCGATCCAATTCACGGTCGCTGGCGTCGGTTTGTGTGTTGGGCAGAGCACTATGAACGGCAATTCGAAGAGCCAATACTTCCCTTGTATTCCGATTCTCGTATCCACGATCCTTCTTGGTATGTAGATACGTTTCCACCATCAGAAGCTGAGGTTTCCTACTAGCCCTATCTTCTGAAGAGTCACAAATCTCCTGGCCTGGATGAATTATTTCCGGCTCTAATCAAAGAGAGGCCCGTCTCTCCTCCGCGAATTAACTTCTCTCCTCAAAGAGATTTAAACCATAGAATTAATAAGGTTTGACTACAGCTTGGTGGACGTCATGCGTGTCTTCAAGAAAGATGACCAGACAGACCGCGCTAACCATCGAGGGAGCGGTTTCTTGTGTTGTGTTCAGGATGCTCGAGCGCTGCTCTTACTAACGCCCAATAGCGCACGCGAACAGCGCACAAGTAAAAAGCAAGCGGGGTTCCGCCCAGATAGGAGCAGTATTGATTAAATCTTTATCATTCGCCAGATACTCCAGCATCACCGTGCTTTCAGCCAGCCTACCGTCGTTCGATTCTTGCACATATGACTTAGTTGACAGAGCTGTTCTCTGGACTTGCTTAATGAGAAAGTGCCTGAGGGGCTTGTCAACAACCTCCAAGCGATCTACTCCTCAACGTCGGGTCGCATGCAAGTGTATGGTGACCATTCGCAATCCTTCGGCATTACCAGTGGTGTGGGGGCAGAGTTGCCCCGCATCAGACTTCTCGTTCAGTTTCCCTATGGATGACATATAAGAGAGTGCTACCGAAAACTGTAGGCCTAGTGACGTTGAGTTTCTCTCGCGTAGTCTGTTTCGTGACGAAGTATGCGAATGACATCGCCGTAATCTATGACTCGTCACAGGTTGCCCAGGACATGTTGCGCAGGTTGGAGATGTTTGTCGCACAGTTCGGAATGACACGTGCTCTTCAAAGGGCAAGGCTTTTCTCCAGTACTAAATAGAGGCTACCCCAAACTCGTCCTTTCAGGCTCCACCTTAAAAGCCGCATTAACTAGGGCGAATCTCCAAATTCAGAACAGCCTTTGCCGACCCTCGACATCTCTGGAACCAGTGTGGCCTCACCCTTTCCCTGAAAGATAGAGCCTATAACGGTAAGAAAAGTTAACATCTACGGTTGCGAGACCTAGTCTGTTCGGTCCAACGATGTCCAGAGACTGTGTTTTTCACCAACGTTGCATTCGGAACATTACTGGTGTACGTCAGCAGCATCGTATTAGTAGTGACGACATTCGCAGTCGGATTTTCCAGTCACACTCTGACGACTGCTGAGTGGAATAATCTCCGTCGGGCATGTGCTTCGTATAATTGCCTAGTCATTGCCTTATTGCGCCCTCTTTGCGTGTATCGGTGTTGAGTGGACGTGACCCAGAGGTGGTCAAGGCAAAGCTTCGGCTCAGGGAATCAAGGTGCTCACATCAAAGCTGACCGCAGTAGAGCGTCCCCGGGGCCCAGGTTGAGGACCAAAAGAGCGCGATCACATCTAGTTGTGAACGGATATGGCTCAGAACCGCAATCAATGGCGAAAACATCTTGAAATGCTACATCCATGATCAACATTTATCACTTCTACATAGTTGTAACCCATGCACTCTGTCGAATGTATATACCAAGACAGGTGGATAATGCATATGATATGCTATAACGTATCAGTTGGGCTAAACTAGACTGTCTGTCGTAAATTCCTTTGGCACAACCCTCTCGTGTGATAAGCAACGACTAGCCGCGCTTGATGTAAACGCTGACAAGAGGGCAACCTGCCGAAAACACTTCAATTATGCTGGCTCCAGGAAACTGAATCGTAACTGGAGAGACGAAATACTCGTTCGTCGTGACCGTGCTAAGCTCACAGTGGCTCCACGCATCCAGTGTAGAGCAGGCTAAGGCCCAACCAACGCATTGTGTAAGTCTGGTATGCATGACTTCCCAGTTAGACATGAAGACTGCCGCTATGCACGCTGAAAGAGTGTGGGCTGGCACTGTTAATGGAACGAAGCTTCCGTCCATATATATATATATATATATATATATATATATATATATATATATATATATATATATATATATAGTAGAAAGCGCGGGGAACGCTAAAAGAATAGGAAAATACATCAAAAGGGAGATATTGTAAACGTACCCGCAGGTAAGTCGATTGAAAGCGAGACTAAGGCAGAGGCCGAGAGGGCGGTAGCTCGAAGCACTTCACACCAAACGTTGCTCGCAACGGGATCACATTCTGCCAATCCTGGATTTCGATCCAACTGCACCGTAGTTAGCGACGTCCCAAGAGTTCCAAACAAGCTGAGAAATAATAACGATGATTAAAAAATACCAACCTACTGATTAACACTGGCATGAGGGCAGGATAAGAGAGAACATCAAGCATAGTTAGGGGAGGCAGACGGTAAGGCACGGAGAACTATTAATAGGCAGTTAAGAAACTACTATAATGTCCACTCAGAGACTTTACATCGAGCGAGTAAGTTCGGTGAGTGGCTCAAGATGGATAGTGATTAGGTTAGAGGTAGCAGGAAACAGCGGAATACTGTATGCCTATGAAAGTTTGATATCAACAGAAACAGTGCGGGTGATAGCGAACAAAACACAAGGCCAAAATCTAGGGGCAGACTCTTTCCCCACAGTCTCTAATGAGTCATTCACTTGATCCGCATCCGTGAGTGGCGCATGGAATGAGTTAATTAAAGTGCACAGCCCCTAGGACCCAGGTAGGAGCGCATGAAGATATGCAGCAATAATACACATTCGGATATGAGCCAATTACTGTCCAACTTCAGAGTCGTGGTTGAAGATTTGATCAGTTCAGTACGGTTAAGCGAATATGATCCCCACACCGAGGTGCGGGGATTTCCACGACTCACATCGCAGGAATAACAATAAGTAACAACGACAAGAAAATGAGTTTGAGTACAAAAAGCATGAAATCAGGGCAGAAAAGCGCAAAACCAATCGGGATGGAATGAAGATTAGTAGCTAGGTAAAAGGAAACGAAAGCAGGAACGCCAAGGACTGCGCAACTGCGACAGGTCTGGTAGGGTCTCCAAACCCTGGTGTGGATTATCTCGGGGCCCCCAACCACGAAGACAGCGTACACCAACATGACCAAGTCTCTCGGTTAGTTTCTTCATACCTTTATGCTACGTCACCGACTGGCCATCTCGTGGTTTCCTCTAACTTGGTGCAGTCATGGCGTACAATGCACGCTGAGGAAGTCGGCCAACGAGCATGCGGAAGATATGACCTAGAGGTTAAGATTTAACACTCGAGCGAGACACCAGAGGGTTTACTGCCAAAAACCAACTGGTGGACCTTAGCATCGCCCACCCGATGTGAGCAATACTACACAAGCACCAATGATCAAACACTGTCGAGCGTTAAATATATTCACTATGAACTGGCCAGGTCTTTGATCCATAGAGCTTGATCAATTTCAAGCGTGTTCCATGGGGACAAAACTGGCCAGAAATCTCGACTGCGTTCAGGTTAGAAATACCACCAAAAAGGTAATCAAAGCGAATGAAGAGTTGGTTACCGAGATGGATAAATAGCCCGATTGCTGAAGTCAGACTGTCTAAGAATGGCCAGACGCGTGCTGTTGCATGTATAGTGGTTACTCCTAACTGCTGGCAGATTTAACCGCCGTGCTCGTTCTACGCTTCAGTCTAGGTTCCTACCTCTAAGAGTCCGTTAATTGTGCCTAAAGTGTGCAAAGTCTCCGACTCCAGAGAGTTGTTCTATCACGGAACGGATTACAGATCAGTCACTCATTTGTCCACACCTGATACGTACATTTCGTCGTTTAAACAAGCAATTGACCAACACGTACTAATCCAGCAAGGTTAAATGTTCACAAAATACGTACACACCCTAGTAGGCCGGGTCGGATCCGCAGTCACCGAACGCTAGTACGATCCCGAAGCAATGACGCGTAGCTACTTACTTATGAGTATCATGGAGCTAAGGAATTTAAGCTACATCCGAAGCGACCGTGATTCCTATCTGCATGCTCCAGATTTTATCCTTTCGGGTCAACAATGGGTACAGGGTGTGTGCGTGGATGCGGCCGAGAGCGGTGCATTGCAAATAACTCATTGTCTCTAGTTAGGTGCAAGTACTCCATATTGGCTCACAGTTACAGGGAAGGAATAATACGGAGGCGAATGCCATGCATTAGACCACAGGTGCTCAACTGATGGAACAAGAACCTAAGCGACTGCGCACCAGTGTTGAGCAACCGCTTCGCGATAATACCCAGGTCAACTAAGAACAGATAGTAAGCATTATTCACAACTGCGTGGAATATGGTTCACGATTACTTAAGATACACTTCTGATGATGCCAATGCGGAACATGAGGATAAACGATTGTAGCCCAGGATTGAGCCTACTTGTGGTCATAATCCAACGGGCATAAGGATAAACGTAGCTCTTAACAGCACTGTAAATTGAAAACAAAGCATAGGTTCATAAGATCATACATATAAGATCAATCCGAAGAACGGAACTCATTCATTTGAGCTAATACAAATGTGACCTGCATCCGGCGAAAGTGACAACATCCGAAAAGGACATGCTTGGAATTATCATAGCGATTGAACCGAACTGATCCCACGTAACATGCTGTAGGTTCAACTTCGAAACTTGACTTTCGGGGAAAGCAATCGCAACGCAACACAATGAAGACGATGGAGCAGCACGCCAACTTCAACAGCAGATGGATTAGTTATGGTGACAAGTACTGGCTATGAAAACGCCACTGCGCACATCACGTAATTTAGAATGTAATGGGGTAGTCCCATACCATCTTTTCTATTCGGCTGTGGTCGAAGGTGCAGGTACTGACTCGCTCCTACTTCTTTTATGGAGCGGAGATCTAACATGGAACAGACTGATGAGCTCAGGGTGCGCAGGCTGTATAGCTTCACATGCAGTTAGATTCAGTTTTTATGCAACCGCCTCTAACTAGACTGATGTGGGGCGCTGTACACCCCAGTGTGTGTTACGACGCATCAATGTAGAGAGCGTGCTACCGGAATGGACTGGTACACTACCTGTATAAAGCTGAAGAGAAGTCAGTGTTATCGCATGGATCAGAGACAGCCATGCTGAGAAGTCACTCATTGTTGATCACCGACCGTAGCTACACGGCCAATCAGGTGAGTAGTAAGGAGGCTGAAAACTCAGCGTTTGGCAACGGACCTGCTGGTGCCACTCAGTAGGTAGTGATTGCCAATATAGCGCCTGGTTGGCTGAGGATCAGGAGCGGTCAACTGATGTCGGGGTGAAGAGGTGCGGGAAAGTCGATGTAAAAAAAGTGCCAGGCGTTGCTGAAAGAGATTCATGGGATCGGCCAAATCAACAGTTATAGGTGCGTTCTGACAAGTCACAATTCAGAGACCAGTGGTGCTCTCGTATTACGCCTTGCATGTGAACTCTCTCGTTCAACCATTACAACTATGCATTTCTTTTCCTGCGAGTCTCCGCATTCATTCATTCACGTCGTGCTTCCTCTAGCTTTAGTTTTATAGTCCGCTACTCTACTTGTGAAAAGTTACCAGATTTCCTGCTCCCGTAAGCCGCTGCATGTTCAAAAGCAAAACAACAGGTGGTTTTAGACCCAGATTTATAAAAGGCGCTATTGAAGTGTAATACTTCTTCGCACAGTAAACCCACCTAATAATTTCATTCAGATTTCAGACTATTAACTACATCGTTGTCACGTAAGCATCCGTTGAAAAGTGGTCCTGGCACGTATGGTCCGGTGTTCTGGTGATTGCCCACTTGGCATTGCTTCATGATACGAGGATACATACACTTCAGATGAGTTAGCAACCTCGCTACTCTCGTCAGCCGTGATTTCAACTTTCATGTAGAAAACGATACTAAGCATAATAGTGTGCGCTTTTTAAGTGTTTGTAATGTTTAGTATCTTGCTTTTTTCATATATATCATCGTTTTGTATTGCGGCACAACATATGAGGTGTTTCTCACAGTTAGCTAACGTGAAATGATGACGCACTTTCATAGGTTAAATTGGTAGGCAATATCGATTATTGGATGTACCAGTTTTGCGCCCTAAAACCCCAACGCGATTTCAATCTACTCTACAATATCCATAGAACGATTAATGTGGAAAGGCAAGAAAGCCAGCAAAAGTATGACAGAAGGAAAGTTGCAAAAACATACACATAGTTTCATAACTTATCGCATAAGTAACAGTACACCATATATACTGTGGCTTGCATATCCACATGTAAACTGAAGAAGAAAAGCTAAGCGATTTTTATTTCCGCTAATTTCTATCCCTACTTGACCATGGTTAACTGCTGGGGATTACGTCAATATGAAGGCCAAAAAGCGGACAGCCAATGCTTCACTGCTGGTTTGCACCTCTATTCTCATGTGACCTTACTCGTTGTCCAATATTAAGCATTTTCTCATGAACGGTGATGATGCAAGACGTTGTAGTATGTGGACCTTGAGTCCAGCTAGAGCACTAGAAGCATTGGTAAATTACAGAAATCGATTGGGCTTAAATGAATATTACAAGACCCACAATAATCCATCATTGCAACACCCTATCTCCTGCCTGTTGACCTCTAAACCACAAATTTGCTAATGCTTATGCGAGAGCATGAGACAGTGTAATGTTCTGGATCTGATCCTGCGCGGGGGGAGTTTGTAGCAACGTAGAAAAAAGAGATTTTATTTTTTACTCTCAGTCCACGGAAGAAAATGCATAAGCACAAAATAAAACTTGGGCGAAAGCTTCGTCATCATTCCGTAGACAATTCAATTCGAGAGCGTTCATTTAAAGACCGCAAGGTCAACTCAAACAAGGCAGTCAAAACAATATCATCTATCAGATAAACTGCAACGATTATGGCAAACAATACATAGGACAAACAGGAAGAAAACCCTCCATTTAATGAGAGCAGCCTCAAGTAAAACCCAGCATTGTCGTATTGGTGGACGTAGCTGCTGATAAGAGACTTAAAAACGCTTATTTCGAGTGTGCATGAGGGCAATTTGTACAAAAGTGAGTAAGACAGTTAAGCCCTATTAGTTAGACGGAAATGGTCATAAATGTTATTCGCCTTCAGGAGTGAGGAGAAGTAGGTAGGTGTATGCTAAACCGCGAGAGACAAGATGATGACAAAATAGAAACAAAGGCAGATTCGCTACCGTACCGGGACCCGGAAGATAAACCAATTAAAAGAGTAGCAGGAATGAAAATAGGTGCATATTTCTGAAAACATGTGAACAAACTGCATGCTTACCATCGTAGGCCGTCCAAACAATGATGACTGAGCTGACAGTTGCCCAAATCGAGTGTCTGTAGGTGGAAGTGGCCCTGATATGACGAAGTGAAAGTGGTAAAGCAATATAAAAGTTGCGCGAACCTCGGAGTAAATGCACAGTTGCCGGTTAATTATGGATCAGCGAAATGCATGAGGTCAAACTTTGGAAATCGGAACACACAAAGTATTCCGTCGATTATGACAGCAACCTAAAAATCGGTGACCGGAAAAAACAGGTGAATCGAAGATAAGAAGGAGGGATGGAACAGTGGCATATACCCTACTGAATGTCCAATGGAAGCCATTTAAGAGGCTGTGGTGGTCACTAGGAGAAATACCCGAAGATAGAAATGCAGCTGTGGTGCACAAATAAAACGAGTCGTAAAGAGACCATAATAAGCAGTACGAAAACAATTAGCTTGAACGGATAAATGTCACAAATCAATAAACAATCGAATGCGGAGAGACGATGAACTGAGAGCAAGCACACTTCTACAAACAATTGCCTGCATGAACAGCGCTTTCAAAAATTGGTTAATCATTGGTGGCATCCACACATACCAAGAACTATGTTCTGCTCAGCTGAATAACTGTGCTGCAAACGGCGAAACTTGGCGGATAAGGCTACCATCACTCTAGCCATCGTGAGAAAAAAGAAAAATAAGAGGAAGAAAACGTGAGTCACAGAGTTACTTTCACAGTGGCCCCACCACATTGTATGGAGCATAGATTCGACCCCAAGTGAGTATCTGTAGACCGCGATAGAACGTCAGATGCGGAATCGGTTAATTTTGAATCGTCCCTCTGACTGTGAATTCCGTTTGTTTTCCCGAACGGTAGGCCCGATCGTTTGCAGACAGAGGATAAGAACCAGATGACGAGTAAACCATATCATCATCATCATCATTACACGTTAGCTAGAGGTGGAAAACACCTCAGCTATTGTGCCGCAATACAAAAGGTAAGAAAAGGAAAACAAACGGATGGACATCATTCCGGAGAGCTAACAGCTGGCTGCCGTAAAAGAGAGTCATATTATACCTATCAAGTGAGACCATGATTGGAGGGGGATGCTAAGCAGGAGGGGGATGGACAAAGGAACTCACAACACAAACGCCATTGGGGCCGGCTCCAAGCCATATCAGCGAGTGTGTCCAACCAAACGTGTTCACCATCCTTAGGACCCAAACCAGGCAATCAGGATGAACCAACCGACGCCAACTTCGAAGTGATGGTTTTCATTTCTCTCGACCAAGTCATCACTTGGCCTCCCCTCCTCCTCTTCCAACCGCACCCACAACGCGCAAACAATGCACGTCGCGGGAGTCGGTGTGCTGGCATGCGCAACACGTGGCCCAGCCATCGGAGCCTGGTGCGTGATATAATCGTGCTGAGCGGTTCACTCGCTCTTCCTGCACCAAATACGCGACGTCGAACACGCTCGTTACTCACGCGGTGTTCCCACCAGACATGAGCTAAGCTGCGAAGGCAGCGATGATCGAATGTGACGAGCCACTTCATGTCTGTCGACCTGATGGGCCAGGTTTCACAGCCATATAGGAGAGTTGAACGGACGGCTGCGTTGTAAACTCTGCCCTTCAGGGCGAGAGTAATGTCGCGTCTGCGCCACAGGTGGCGGAGATTGGCAAAAACACCTCGAGCTTTTGCTATACGGTTCGTAACCTCATCTTCAATCCCACGGGTGCTAATATAGCTGCCCAGGTACTTAAATTCCTGAACGACTTCTAGCAGATCACCACCAAGCGTTAGCGCAGGGTTGGGTCCCTGCCAATCTTGGAGAAGTACTTTGCATTTCGATGGAATAAAGCATAGCCCAAAACGATTGACAGCCAGTGCTAATCGGTCCAGTGCTCTTTGGCATGTTTGGGAGCTGTCACAGATTAGGGCAATATCGTCGGCATACTCCAAGTCAAGAAGTCGCTCACCAGGAAGTAGCTTCACACCTTCTAGATCGTGTCCAGCGAACGCTGTTTCCATGACTTCATCAAGAGCGAAGTTGAAGAGGAAAGGTGACAGCGGGCATCCTTGTCTCACACCGCTGGTGATACTGAAGGGTGGTGACAGTTTGCCATAAACCCTCACCCTGCCCGAACTATGCGCGTACAGCGCTTTGATAATATTTACATATTTATCAGGCACACCTTTCCTCAACAGATAGTCCCAAAGTGCACATCGGTCGACTGAGTCGAAGGCACCTTTTATGTCAAGAAACACGACAACGGTGGGTCGCCAATAAACATGGCGGTGCTCCAACACTTGACGCAATGTGAAGATGTGGTCGATGCAGCCCCGACCTCGACGAAATCCGGCTTGCTCTTCACGAATCTGGCTTTCACGAGTACCAGTTAGTCTGTGGAGAATGATAGAGGCAAGCAATTTAGAGGCAATCGAAATCAGACTGATCCCTCTATGATTGCCGCATTCCAAACGAGAGCCTCTTTTGAAAATTGGGACGATGACGGAGCGGTTCCAGTCTGTCGGGACTGTCTCCTGCTCCCAAAGTTTTACTAGCAACTCGTGTATATCATCTATTAGAGCAGGTCCCCCGAATTTGAAGAGGGCTGAGGGAATTCTATCTGATCCGGCGGCCTTATGCAACTTCAACAGCCTGATCTCACGTTCGACTTCTGCGCGTGATGGCGGATAAAAGGAAACGGTGTAACGTAACAAATAACCCAACTTGGATTGGACAGCGTACCATCCATATCACTCGTATATTAGAAATTTGACAGATATTCAGTTACTGGGTAGAATATTTACTGCGTAGAAAGAAGACAGAACAATGTCACGTAGTAGTAAGTTCTTAACACTCGCAACACTGCGTATCAGTGTATTTAGCACTGTGTCCGATCCAGTGGATCGGACTCCATTTTCGACAGCGATTCACCTAATAGGATCTCTATCTCAGAGGAAGTGGATGAAGGCAGGATGGACTTATTCGTGATCATTCCTAACCGAAAGTTTAAGAGCGAAGGAGGGGTAGGGTGACCCAGACGTACTGCACTTGGCACGGGGATACAGCCTGCCGTGGAATCTTACTTGGCCTCGAGAGTCGTGGTAGAGGATTGAACGTAGGTTGAGGCACCTTTCGGAGAGAAAGGTGACCACAGGTACGATAAACAGAATCAAAGACACCCATAGAGTTCAGAAAAATTACAATGGTCAAGGGCTAACAGAGCTGAAATGGAAGAGAAACAAGAGATGGAAAACCGTAGATGGAGTTTGTGAATGGTTGATATGCTTTAACTGTTCACTCTGATGGTCTATGATAGTGAAAGGATTGTCTGCAACAGAGAGCGTTCGAGAGTACCAACGGTACCTTGGGATAAAATGAAAACGTTATGCATATGAAAAACGCAGTTTACTTTGGACATGAGAGTGGACAACGCATTCAGTAGCCGGTCACCGCGAGATGGGACAGACCGCGGGAAGGTGGGGGCAGATCGTTTCGGCAAAGGAGTGGTCCAACGGAAACTAGCCACTTGCGTGGGGCTCAAAGGTAGCGTTGTGGGATACCCATGTTCTGTCTCTGGCATAGAACAGCCCCTCAAGGTGAGTGAACGTAGTCCAGCCAGAGCGCTAGACTCCAGAAGAGTTGAGATGTCCTCGGTGGAAAGATGCGGGTTCCAGTCGAGATTCAGCTCCGATAAGTGCGAAACGGAACAAGCTGCACAATGGAATAGGACAAATTGCATACAGAATTTGAAATAAACGTAATCAGCAGCATCATCGGGGTCACTTGGAAGATAGACGCGATTGACTTAGAAACAAGGAGTCATGGAAGTGAAAAATAACGAGCGGAAAAATTCTGAAAAAACGACGTGTGTGAAATGATGGGTACAGGGATAAGGCGAAAATGACCGATGGGTAAAGGGATCTCAAACGTCTAACTTGAACCTCATCACAAGTTCGAACGTGTCACAAGAAACTGCCAGTAAAGAGGAAAACTGAAAAGAAACGAGAGACAAAAAGAAAGAGCATGGGAAATAAGGCGACAAAATTTCTGATATCATTCGAAATTTCAAATAGGAGTCTGTTAAATGTCCGAGCGTACGCGATAAGCAGGGCTGGGATGGTGGAATATTTCATAGCTCCTATATGTCGAGAAATTAGAAATAAGATGAAAGAGCTACGAGTCGCTTAAATCAGGACAGGCATAATGAAGGCAATTTTCGCAAAAATGATGACGCAACGGAAGGATAAGGCGACTATATGCATGAAAGTAGCTGAAAGTGCATAAACAAAATGGGAAGATGTTGGATGTAACCAGGCGTAGCACAACATAAGTACATTCGCATGCATGAGCGTGGCTTACGGATTCTCTAACGCCACTTGCCATAACCAAACCCGGCCCAATATTGTGATGAAAAATGATGCTTGGTAATCTCGGGAATCAACATCAGTACGCAAGCTCATGGAAATGCACAAGGTTCAAATCCCACTCATCTGTGTGAAGCAGCTGGGTCGTGTGGTGTGACCAGGTCACCAACGATGGTGCCACGCGGCTTACCGGAAACAGATGCCCAAAGTAGCAACCTAGTCATGCGCAAGAGGGATGTCGCAAGTTGAGAAGAAAATTTCTGCGAAATGGATTATGAAGCGCCAATGGCGTCGGATAACCATTGGTTCACAGGAAAGATGAGAGTTAAATGATGCAACATAACTAGCACTAAGTTTAGTAGTCAGAAACAGGGCCACCTTCGATTCATCAGTGTGCGATGTCAAATGGAGTTTCCGAAGCGGGAGATAACGCGGCCTTCTCAAGGAAAACGGAGTGGACCGCAGCAGCCTTCCACGAACGCGGTATAGTTAGCCGGGAAGTACGAGCGAGGTTAAAAAAGCAATTGAGGTTGCATGAACTAACCAGAAGTCAAGACTGAGCTGGTGCGTGGGGCAGGCGATAACCCCAACCAACAACCGGTTAAATTCAGATGTGACAATTTCGGGAAATAGGTGATCAAACGGCCAATCAAGGAAATAAAAGCAACATCCTCCACAAGTTCCTCAGTGTCCGATTTCATACCCCCAGCGCCGATGAACGGATTGTGCGCCAATGAAAGAATTTGGAGCCGTGGAAGTGGGGACGAAGGGCTGAAGACAGGAGTAGAGACAAAAAGTTTACCTTCAGTGTAAAAAGATGGAAGTAGCATAGACTGAAATGCATTTAAATCTCTGAAAAGAGAGATTTCCAACCTAAAAAACTGCATAAAACGTTGTTGATAAACAACCTTGGGTTCTTGTCAAACAGAAGGAACTGAGTCGATAGTATCAAGAACACAAGAAGAAAAGGCATCAGCAGTACGCCAATACGCAGTACCCACACGTCGCTGCCGCGCAACCACCACAAGTCGCACGTGGGCTAAAGATACTGCGGGGGTCGCCCGCGCCTTCAGATTACAAGACAGACTTGTGATCCTTAAGGTTACGGACCGGTACAGAAGCTTAGCTAACATGAAACCGTAAGGACAACAAAACATGCAAGAACGGACACCGAAAACGTGACGCATAGCCTGAAAGCCAAACACATGAACCGGGACACTACGTCCGTCTGCTTAGGAAAATGGAATTTGGGGAAGGCATTGCACACCACTAACAAACTCCACAGCGGTCTAATCATTCGACATGTGCTTTGCAAGTGCTAATTGCCGAGTGCGGTTGCATGACACCGAACCATTTGTCAGTCCTATGGTCAATGATCAAGAACTGGAGAAAGTCAATCAAGTCATTTATTTTAGAAGCCGCATCAAGAGCTAGGAACGGAAAATAGAATTGCACATTACGAAAGCCGGATCTGCTTTCACTAGCCCGCGACGCTGCTGGCATTTGAAGAAAACTTGTCTAAGGATTGCGTGCACAGGGTCACAGTGAGAGCAGCTCCGTATGCGGGAGCTTGACATGACCTACATCGGCTTGTAATAATCGTTTCTTCTGGGGCATTTCTAGTATCACGAGCATCTGTTTACCCTCTACGATGAGCAGAGTGGATGTGAACCGAATGGTGGATGTCAGGTTAGTTACTAAGAGCAACAAATAACACTTGTGGTGAGCTGAGATCAGGCACTATTGCCCCGGAAGTCAATAGTGTGGAGGTAATAGGTAAGCCAGACGGTAACGAGTCGACACAACCTGAACAATTGTAAGCTGTAGGTGGATGCACCCTAGAAAGAAACACATGTGTAGCGCTTGACAAGGTTTCGAATAAAAGCGGACCAGGCAAACCCCCAGAAAGACTTTCGCAGTGGAATTGTTTGTGGTCAGATCTAATGGATACTCGTTACCACATCAAACAAATTCGTCCGCACCTTCCAGCTTACAGCACAGTAATCAAGTTGCGTTGCGTAAACACATGCCACTTATACTTCATCACCGCTGAACAGATCACTTTTTCATTACTTCATCAAGAGAGGTGTAAGATTCCGGGAAGGCGATACTGAATACCGAGAAAATGTAGCAAATAGAGATGCCTCTGCGTGGCTACATTTAATATCTTCCAAGAAAATCCATTATGAAGGTGATTATTCTCGAAACCTCAACTCGGCGAAGTGCGTGCCCAGGAGTTTCTTAAACTCCGACACCGACTTTGCTTCGACTATGCAGGCAGGTTGTTCCAAATATTCACCAACCTCCGCTCGAAGCAGCGTTGGTGAGCGACCCGCTTAAAATCCGGTACGACAAGCTTGTACCAGTGTCCTCGTGTATTGCTTAGTGTGCACAGATGAAACAGCGGCCTTAACATGGGGTAATCACCAAGACGTAACATCCGATGCGTCATGGTAAGGACAAACGGCATTCGATTATAAGACAACCCTGGTCCCTTGCACCAGTCTTCATATGGCACACCTCGTAAACCGGGGATGAGGCCACGAGCTGTACCCGCCCAATCATTTGCACCTCGCCCCAGATGAGTGGACAGTAGGTGGGTGAGCTGTACTCGTGGGGTGGGTGGCAACCCCCTCGGAATAAGTACAGAAGCTGCGTTTGAGCACCCAGAGTATGCGCAGTCCGTTTTGGTAAAACCTGTTCGTGTTTTCAACGGATTTCAAAGCGCACCGGGAGAGTAGGCCGACCCTTCACGGATTGCGATGGTTGTAACTGTTGGCCAGCCAGATTGTAGACTCGGCAATTACCACCCTTGCCCAGGCTTATAAACACCGACTTGACCGGGTTGATCGGAAATTTGACCTTTGCTGACCACATGGAGAGGCGGTCAATGTCACCCTGAAGCTGGTCACAGTCGTCGGACGCCTCAATTATCCTCCACACAAGGTTCTGCAAACAAGGTGAATTGAGAAGCTGAGGCAAATCGTTGATGTGGGTCAGGGACAAAATGGGTCCAAGGACTGTGCCCTGCGGGACGCCGCTGGTCGAGGAATACCACTCGGTCAGGTGGTTGTCCACCTGAACCCTCCACCTCCGACCAATAAAGAAGTCACTAATCCACTGGTGTAGTGAGTCACCAACACCGCACATCTTCAGCTTCCGAAGGAGGATCTCATGTTTCACCTTGAAGTCGATGTAAATGACGTCAACCGACTTCCCTTGGTTTAGCGCGCGCAATCATTCGTGCCTCGAGAGCAGCAGATTTGTGATGCATGACTGACCATTCATGAAACCGTGCTGCGTGGGCGTCAAGATGCTTTTCGACTCGAGACGCTGCTGAAGACCACACTTCACGACCTCGAGTGTCTTACTCAAAACAGAGGTCAGGCGTATTGGCCGGTAGTTGTTCACCTTGCTCGGATCGTTGCCTTTAGGAATCGGTTTTACCGATGAGCATTTCCGCTGGCTCGGCAATGAGCCGGCGGACATTGACCTGTTGAATTGCTGCATCACCGAAGGCGAGATGGCCGATAGCGGTTTGAGGATCAGCGGATAGAGCCCATCAGGCCCGACGTGCTTGGTACCGTCAAAACTGGTGAGCAATTTGAGCACATTCTCAACGCTGTAATCCAGGCTGTCCAGCTTGGTAGGGGCGATGTGCGTCGAATTCGTTACGGACGTCTGGTTATCTGCAAAAGCGAAGCGAAGTGCGCCATCATGCAGAAGCACGCTCAGTGCTGGAATGTAGGGGCTGTCCGTCCGAGACTTCCAACACAGACATATCACTTGTCGGCTTCAGGCGTCGCTTTACGTATGCAAAGATCCTCTTGGGAGCTGGTTGTGCTGCGGTTGCAAGTTGGTCTTCGAAGCTGCGGCGTTTGCACGTCCTTGCGCTGTTGCAGGAATATCGTTGCCTTTTGTACGTCACGTAATCTTTAATAGAGACAGGTCGGACGAATTCATTCCATAGCCGGCGTCACTGTGGAGCCAGTATGCCATTCTCCTTGTCAAACCAGTGTGTTTTGAATGGTCCAGTTTTCCGCTATTTGAAAGGAACAAATCGGGTGCACAGTGATTTTCCCCCCTTATTTATGATAGAGCATCAGGCTTCAGCTGACGAATTCTGTGGTAGCGACCAGTCCATCAGGCTCGCGGCTTGAGTGAGGCCATTAAAGTCCGCCTTCCAGTAGTTGAGGGTTAGCTCCAGCATAGGAGTAAACGGCACTGGCAACTCTAAGCTCGCCATGACCATCAAGTGGTCACTAGCTGCCAGGAGCTCCATGACCTAAACCTCGCGCACATGTTGATCGCAGCAGGTCAGCGACAAGTCCAGGCAAGGTGAAGTCGAGCGCACGATAATGCGTCTCGGCTGATTGATGTGCTGTGTGGCCCCAGTTTCAAACATCTCCGCAAACTTCGTCTCGACTTCGTAGTGGCCGGGGAGAAGCTCGACCTCGGGCCACCGTATTTGAGGGAGGAACCCAGATGAACAGGTCGCTAATGCTTCACGTGCGCCCGACGGTTCCTACCGCGGCCTGTGTGTGGACTTTATGAAGGTTGACCCGTTGGCTTGCGTCAATGAACCGTCTGGAAATCTAGTAGCACAGCCCGTTACCGGAACCAGCGTAGGATATGCTGTCGGCCACTAACCGTATCGCCTAAGGTGTGCAGTATTAAGTTCGCTGCATGGAAAGTTGATTTTGTCACGTTGCAGTGATAACTGCATGGGAGCTGCTTAACCGATGTTGCCATGACCATGAACATATGTCAGGTTTGAATTGGATCTAGCCGACATCGCACATTTCATCCATAGTTGGTAAGGTGACACTTTACCGACAGCGACTGTATGGCAGTCAAACAGTGGTAGTGTGTCATTGTCGTCGACAACGAGAATGATGATGATGACAGGAATGATAATATTGATCAGTTGGTCAGTTAACCAAAGACGTGTTGCAATGCCGGGGAAGGATATGCGCGCTAATAGTAGCAGACTTTGGTGATCCGCGAGCGAGGAGATGAAGACAGCCATGATTTGGACCATACAGTGACCAGTGCTGGTAGTGGGTGACTGGATCTAGAGAAACAAATGATCATGATCACCCAAATAAAGGGTTAACTGTTCAAAAAAGCAGCGGATTTGAGGACGAAAGTGCAAAAAGAACTGCGATGACGCCGATCGCGAATAATCAGCGGGAGTATTGCACAACTCGATTAAAAACACCAGAGTGCACATTCAATCGGATGAAAGTGAGATAACCAACAGATAAAAAGGGAAACGGAAGTATGCGGCACACTTAGACGAAAGAAGTACGATACGTCTTCGGTGAAGTGGACGTGCTTGTTCTACACAATAAAAGTTACCAGATGAAAGTAGCATAGTGGGGCCTGGATGGACAGATCCTATGACACGCAACAGAATGGTGGAACAAACTACCTGGCATGGTCATCTATAATGTATGCATTTAATAACAGCCCTAAAGATTTGTTAAAGTGATGATGGTTTACTTGCTACTATGCGACACTAGCACATGATCAAAGGGGGCGTGGAAGTACGAATGAAATCTTTCGAGGGAATACTTTGCATGAAAGCAGGTCCCCCGGAGGCTGGTCCACGGATGACCGCAATACTTCATTTGGGCATTTGGTTATATCTGCATTGGTTACTGTTCCCAACTTCGCAATCTTTGTAACACATTTAACTTGTCAATCCCCCTAAAAATTCATTTGTGAACGAGTGTGAAAAACTCGAACAATTGCTTGTTTTATGCGATCCTTTTGTACTTATGGATCAGACCAACCAGTTGGACTGTGCCTCGAATTGTCGAGGAATATAATGTTTGATTTTTGAAAACCACATTAGAGGAAACGTCTGAAAGCTCACGAAACTGTACGTCATGGTGAATTGAAGGCATTAGTACCAACAAAGGTATAGGTTTAGGGATACGAAAGATGAGATTGTCAATGCTCACACACACTCACGAGAGAATTTCACCGGGATTCAGATCGCTGGTGAGTTCATTCAAGAACTGAAGCAGCCCTCGCATTGTGATAGCATTCGAGCTCAGATCTAAGGCAGTCAGACGTGTGGCCATGCGGGTAATAGCGCTAATCAGGGATGATCGGCATTCGGGCGTGCTAAGCGTGATACCGTTCCCTTCAAAACAGGATAGAGGAAGGTAATTGAGACATGATGATTCACGTTTAATGCAAAGTAAGACAAGGTGTAGAAAAGTGATACTGCATTTATGAAAGACCAAAAGATGGAACCGAGCATAAGTCGAAAAGAATAACGCAGCCACTAGTATTTGAGAGCACAGATGGAAAGACAGGCGGAATAGTAATCGTACTTAGAAAACACCCCAGCAATTCGATGCAACCCTTCGAACTCTGTACAATAAAAGTGGCTGGATGCAGTTCACGGATGGATGAACATAAGAAATCGTAAGATTTTAGACGTATACAAATGAATCACATGAGTTGCGTCACTGGAATTCGATCAACCACAGGATAGGCATTCGGATCAGAACGTTTTCAGGTATACGCAAGTAGCACAAATTTGTCTAAACATTCCAAACCCGTGTGCGTTCACCAAGACCAGCTGATACCATCATTGTCGAAAATCCGACTTGCTTCCATAAACACTGACAAGGTTATATTTTCACAAGCACAAAGTAATCGGGAAACCTGTCCTGAAATGAAGCGCCTGCTTCAACGTGCAACGAAAAGGGCAAGCAATTCAAGGGTAACAAATTAATGTATTTCCTTGACACGCTAGGCTCAGGGTCTACAGCTACAGATTACTTGCACTGCACAACACGCAATTCTAGAAGCACACTCTATGTTCACCAGAGACCAAAAAAGCCATGTTGGGAGTCTAGAATTAGGTTAACGCGAAAAACAGAAAGAGAGTGAAGAGATGTATCGATGAGCTGGTCCTCGCAACACGGTTCATTGAACTGTGTGGCACAATGGTATTATAAGATAGTATGTTCAAAGTGACAGTGTAGCTAGTTTGATGCTATTGCTGCGGATACAAGCACAGTCAAACTCCCTAAACGGAGAGACGAGAACTTTAACAACGAGCTTCAATACAATATGAAAAAATGCAACGTTCATTGGAGTAATGACACTGAGAATGATGCTGAGAAAGCGATCTTCATGAATTTCGCATTGACACTAGAAATTACTCAGGCCAGTTATTCGCTATTGGTTAGTTCTGAAGGTCATAAATTCCATTTGACCAATTATGGCCACAAAAAGCTCTCGTTGGCCAGCGTGACTGACTAACTTCAAGGCTGTAGTGAAGGTACGAGTATGAAATAGGCAAGGACGATTCCAATGAACCATCCCCGTTGGCACGACGTGGGTAAGTGAGTGACATGAAGGTAACTTGTAAAGTGCGCAAGTGGCACTAGAACATGCTAACCATGGGGGAAAAACCACCGATAAGATAAAGAAACCTGACCAAAAAGAAACAAACAGAATCAATGACAGATGATACGTCAATAATGAGAATAATAGGTATATTTCTCATCCCATGAGAAGCTGTGTTCATATATTTGACACGTCAGATATGTACAGGTAATACCATGTTCTTGCATTGACATCATGCAGTTGTGTCCTTGTATTTGTCTGTGTTTCTGTTGATGCACATGTCACACAAGTTTGTGTTTTATGATAAAGTGGAAAGTATTGTTGCAATTCGAGGATAGTTTAGACACTGATGGCTGTTTACATTGCGTGATTTTTCCATATTCCACTAAATATATGTTATCTGAACCCTCATTAAATAGATTGTCAAGTGACCACACCTACCAACAAGATGTCATAATCATATCCAGGTCGAGGTAGTGCCCGAGTTTATTACGAAATGATTGCGCACTCTCACATGACCTGAGTGTGATTGTGAGCCGATTCCACAAAGCAGCCTATCCGCTTGGAAGGAAGTAGAAGCACGCATGTGTCCTGGAGAAAGAGTTGCATAACATTTGAACAAAGGTTTTGGAGGAATACGGTAGACTCATGTCTGTCGCCAGGACGTGAAGAATTCGCGCATTTGGAGACAGAGCCAAGTTAAAAAAAGCGACACTGCATTTCTTAAAAACAGACAGTAAAAGACGACAAACAACAAACGAAGGGAGAATAAAATAATTTGGTAAGAGCGGAGAACAAGGCCCACCTTGTAAATTAAGCCGTGACACAGTGCGAACACCGTGCAGAAATAATTGGTCCAAAACAATACCGCAATCGTCCTCACCCAGAGCTAAGTGTTGCAAATCGACGACTTGCGAATTGCGTGTACTCTCCAGGAGGGACTTGAAGAAACGCGATGATGTAATGAGGTTGACTTTATCTGGTACCGGATGTTGATTGGCTGAAAACAGAAAACCAGAGAACATTTGCCGATGGTGAATGTTGACGTAATCGACATGCCAGCATACTCTCTTCCTAGCAAAGATTTTTCATTAAAATAATCCCTTGAGTCACTAATATGGATGTCAACTATCCATTGAAGGAACTAGTTTAACAAAAACTTATACCCATTTTAGGACGACATTGCTGACGAAACGGTCGAGGTCGATTTTCAAATTTTTGAAAAGTACAACAAGAAGACGACATTTGGTAGATGCAAGCACTTCGTGTTGTCTCTTCAGTACCAATAACAACAACTGATAACTAACAATAGCAAATGGTGGATGTGACCAAAAAGAAGAAACAAACTTGGAGATCAGGGGGCGAAAATGATTCGGTCTTTATGTGCACGGAAGTTTGAGACTGACGAATAGCTGTTTATGCACGCACAGCATGGGCTGCATTCGGCTAATCGCTATAGTCCCAGCGAAACGAAGAAATCGCGGATTAGAGTGCCGCAGCAAAAATTTTGAACGCGGTATCGTGCCGGATCCGGTGACCAGTAATCAAATCACCGCACTGAAGACGCCACCTGGCATGGTGGTGAAATGTATGAAATCCCTTTAACAAGCTCGGAGAAACGATCAACAGGTGAGTAATCAATAGGTGTTTACCTATGGAGGATGCCGGCGACTTACGCAACGACTGGGTTTGGGTAGGAAAGGGCTGTTCGTTTATCGCGCGCAATGCTTTTCAAATTGCTGAAGGGAATTAATTGCTTTCATTTGCACAATTTTGACGTGAAAATATATCGCGCATCGGTCCCATAGTGAAATGGATGACATCATGCATCCGGTTCACGAGTAACAGATTGGTTGGTGACTACCGTTTCAAATAAGAGTAATGAACTGAAGGATAACTGTGGGTGATGCAAAGAATCGGACACAATAGACTGGTGGAAACTAGGCAGAAGTGTACCAAGCGCTAGATTTTGTTCACAGCATCGGAATTCTGTCAAATAGTGCAAATAACTCGATGGACAAAGCTGTAACATTCGACGTCATAAATAACCGATTTGAGTTAGGATAAAGTCGAAAATGGCTGAGGTATAAAAGCGGAACAGATTAAGTTCGACTAACCAAATGCCCAGATGTAAGGTTTCTATCAATCAAGTGTTCCCAAGGATAGCTCCAGCACTTTAAAGAGCTGGAGGTGCGTAGGCGGTGACAGTCAAACTGGTACTGAGGGGTTCGCAATTCAAATGTCGAGTTCCAAAAAATGTTGAATAGAGAATGTATCTTCTGCTTTAGAAATCAAGTTGAGCATCATGACGACCCAAACATCAGCTATACCAGATGAACTCGGCGGAAGAACCGAGTGAGGTCAGTAGGTCAGGCCTGACAGAAGGTCCTGGTGCTTATTGAGACTCGCTGAAATTGAATCGCCCGGAGCGGCCAAACTTACCATCCCACCCAGGCGCATGATGCCCGAGGACTAATTCATTAGTTGGAAGAAATCACAGATTGGCTTGGCAGTATGATGAAGTGTGGGACAATAACCCGAAAAACCGACAAGTTTACATATCCGGATGGGGGTCGCTAGATTAGCAGATTCCGAGGCTGGAAATTCTGTCTGACATGGAGAAG